TGTACTTGTGATTTATCATTCCATTCATATTTTTTGGATTTGCATATAAAGGTGACTAAAAAAAATTAATGAATGCATGAATTTATTTTATTATTTAATCAGGAATTACAGAACCGAATGCTTTGAAATCTTGGAGATGTTTTAAAGTTATTATAAGCATGGTAAATTTTTTATCAAAAGGTATTTGCTCATCCCCCCTAAAAAATTGATGACGTCACCCCAAAATTTTGCTGAATAAATCCTATCTAAAATGTGCAAAATATGATGAGTCTGTACTTGTGATTTATCATTCCATTCATATTTTTGGATTTGCATATACAGGGTGACTCAAAAAAATTAATGAATGCGTGAATTTATTTTATCGATTTAATCAAGAATTACAAAACCGAATGCTTTCAAATCTTGGAGATATTTTAAAGTTATCATAAGCATGGTAAACTTTTGTTCATAATGTATTTGTTCATCCCCCCTAAAAAAAATTGATGACGTCACCCCTAAATTTTGCTGAATAAATCCTATCTAAAATGCAAAGAATATGATGAGTTTGTACTTGTGATTTATCATTCCATTCATATTTTTTCGATTTGCTTAAGAGGTGGCTCAAAAAAAATTATGAAGTCAATTTATTTTATTGATTAAATTAAAGGCAACACTTATAATTAACCCAATTTGGTAGACACAAAATTTTGTAAAGTAAAAACTCGGTTGAAACATAAGCGTAGCACGCTTATTTACATTTACTTTAACATTACAGACGTGCATTTGTTTTGTGGGCTGACTAGGTTCCGCGAATGTGGTATAGACATGTTTATAATCAACCAATTGTGAATTATACCGTCAAAAATTAAAATAACACCCAATGTTTTATATAATAAGCGGAAGTCGAAGCAATAAAAATCTCTAGACTAGACGACTATACGATTTTCAGTTGCCTCTCCTAGTACACGCCGGCGCCGTATACGTGAGTAAATTGTTTTGTTATTTTATTGATTATTACAAATCAATATTCAAAACGACCCAATTCATTTTCCCGAAAATTTGGGAATACAATAATTTTATTATATTTAGTATTACACTACATCTATCCCAACTGATATACGTGTTCTTTCAAAAATGTTGATGACGTCATCGCAATTTTTTTTTAAATTCCCATTACAAAAATGTAATGAGAAAAAAAACACAATAGGCATCCAGTCGTGAATTTTCCGACAGCGAGGGAAGTACTGTCTAAACTCTTTAGACCAATTTTTTTATTTTCTAATTTCAACCCTTACTAAGTACATACATATTTTAAAATGACTGGTACGGCATGGCCGACCTTGCCGCCCCTGACCAGCCGCCACTATTTTACAGTACAGTACATCAAATCCAGCTAATGTGAGTGAGTCATTCTTGAATTTTGATTTAATCAATAAAATAAGGAAACAATTTAATCAGGTCCGCCGTGTATAGTAACAGCGATGCAGCTGAATGAAAAGCATTTATAAGTACTCGTAATTTAACACAAATAGCAATGACGTTTCTCGCGACTGCACACGTGAGAGTAAAACAGAGAAACTAAACTAAATAAACGACATTTTCTACGAACAACAATGATCGGTTCACTGTGCGATGGTTCAGACTTTTTTATTGCTTAGACTTGCACTCATTAAAGAAAACAGTGCATTTTATTTCGAAATTCGAGGTTGTGTTGTACATTTTCTTAATTATAACTTGTCTAGGTCTAGGAAATGCAAACATTTTTCAAAGGACTGCAAAAATTTCTCTAGGGGGTAATAAAACGTCGAGAAAATAATTATGAAAGTATCAATTCTTCCGATAGACTTGAATACTATAGTTCCTTAGTTTGCGCTCAATACGTAAAAATGGTCTCTCAGCAATAGCAACAACATGAAGAGTTTATGTTTATACATCTGAAGAATGTCACGTAGAAATTAATTTCATTTGAATAATAAGTTTGTCGCCTCTAAACTGAGGAATAAAATTATTAATTAAGTCACAATCGAACAAAATGTTTTGAATATTATTAATAAGACCCACCACTGACCCGGAAATGACCGGCATTCAGGCAAGACTTCTATCATTACGGGTACTAAGACTAAGTAATGATATGCATTGATTAGATTAACAAAACAACTTTCGAGATTCTAGAATTACAGCATACAAATTAGTCTGCTATTATTCTCTAATCTCACCCCATCCCCAAAAGTCTAGCGTAACTACCGATCATTTATCCGCGCATCACTTGGAAAGTGACCTACACTACTCTAACCTACTGGTGCTAATCTAATCTGACTGACATTATCAGACTATTCGAGAAACTTACGAACAATATGACATGTTCCTAACAAAACAGCTTTTTGAATTTTGACAATTATATTGAATCATTCAAATGCAAAATCTTTAAATTCTCAATTGATTTTTTTTTAAGATTCAACATGGATTTCATTTCTATCGATAATTGTAGATATTTTGAAATCTTGGTGTGGTATGTTTGAATAATGTTGTTTGTGTTAGGAATAGCAATGTCAATGAGAATGGCTTCGTTCGTGTGTTTTTTTTTTTTTGTAAGTATGATGTCTGGTCTGTTAGCTGTAATGTTTAAGTCTGTAAGTATCGTGCGATCCCAGTATAATTTGTATTTGTTATTTTCAAGGAACGGAGATGGAATGTAAGTGTAATAGGGTGTCGTATCTTCGATTAAGTTCGTAAGTGTTACTAATTCTTTGTGAATGATTTTGGCTGCGTTGTCGTGTCTAGCTTTGTAGTCAGTTTGTGCCAGGATGTTGCAGGAGGAGATTATGTGCTGGATCGTTTCAGGTTTTGCTTTGCAGAGGCGACAGCAGTCGTTTCTTATACTCGGATCTTTGATGATATATTTTCTGTAATTCTTGGTATTGATTACTTGGTCTTGAATAGCAAACACAAATCCTTCTGATTCGGCATACAAACTTGATTTTTTCACCAAATCAATGACATCTTCTTGTTGACATGAGCTTCTTCTAAGTCTTTGTAGAATTTTCCATGTAGTTGTTTTTGTTTTAGCCCACTTATTATTTTGTCTATTGTGTGGGGGGTGTGGATTTCTTCGGTGTTCGACAGATTTAAGGGTGTGTGGTTCAAATCTGCCCTTGTGATGGTGCGAAACATTTCATTTTTTTCTGCTCGTTTCAAGAAATACTTCTTCAGATCTGAGATTTGTCTCTGATATAAGTTTTCTAGGTTCTGGAAACCCCTTCCTCCATTCTGTCTTGGTAATGAGAATCTTTCAATGGACGATTTTGGATGATGCCTTCTATACTGTGTGAAGATTTTCCTTGTTGCGATGTTTAAATTTTCAAGATTAGTTTTGGACCATTTAATGACTCCAAAAAAATATGTTAGCAGTGGAACGCAGAATGTATTTACTGCTTTCATTAAATTTTTTCCATGACCCCTAGAAGACGAAGAAATGGGTCTGCCATTTCCGTCTGTCTGTCCGTCTGTCCGTCTGTCTGCCGTCCCGGATTTTTATTAGACAGATAATCTCCGAAAGTACTGGACCGATTGTTGTGAAATTTTGTACTTATATTAGGAATATCATGTAGATGGTAAAACGCTAACCAAAATTTGTCTAATCATCCCCACCACTAATGCGATGACGTCACTTGAAAATTTTACATAGTAAATGGGTTTTAAATTGTATAAAATAACATAGTCCTACACATGTAGTTTACAACTCCGAATTGAGTTTTCACCCGAAACGTCCAGATTTTTGGAAAAAAAATCAAAATTATAAAACAACATTTTGCAATCTAATTTTGAATCTGCAAAAGCGAATGCTTTGGAATGTTGCAGATGTTTTAAGGCTATAAAGAGCATCATAAATCTTTAGTCAAAAAATATTTATATATCCCCTCCAAAAACTTGATGACGTCAGCTCAAAAGTTTGCCGAATAAATCATATCTAAAATGTACAAAATATGATGAGTCTGTACTTGTGATCTATCACTCCATTCATATTTTTAAGTTTTGCATATACAGATTTACTGATTTACTCAGGAACTACAAAACCGAATGTTTGGAAATCTTGAAGATGTTTTAAAATTATCATAGGCATGGTAAATTTTTGATCAAAATGTATTTTGGTCGTCCCCCCCTAAAAAATTTATGACGTCACCACAAAATTTTGCTGAATAAATCATAAATCCTATCTAAAAGTACAAAATACGATGAGTCTCTTCTTGTGATTTATCATTCCATTCAAATTTTTTCGATTTGCATATACAGAGTGACCCAAAAAATTAATGAATGCGTGAATTTATTTTATTGAGTTAATCAGGAACTACAAAACCGAATGCTTTGAAATCTTGCAGATTTTTAAGGTTATAAAGAGCATAATAAATGTTTAGTCAAAATACGTTTGCTTATCCCCTCCAAAAAATTGATGACGTCAGCTCGAAAGTTTGCCGAATAAATCCTATCTAAACTGTACATAATATGATGAGTCTGTACTTGTGATTTATCACTCCATTGATATTTTTTTGATTTGCATATACAGGGTGACTCAAAAAAATTCATGAATGCGTAAATTTATTTTATTGATTTACTCAGGAACTACAAAACCGAATTCTTTGAAATCCACTGCGAAAAAAAAAAGCATAATAGGCATGTAGTCGTCACGTTTCCGACAGCGAGGGAAGTACTGTCTAAACTCTTTGGACCAATTTTTTTTTTTCTAAAATTAAGACTTTCAGGGAAAAAATCAAAGTAGATTCGTACACCGCAAGTATAGGAGTATATTGTTGTATAACATTTAATACATTTTAAACTAGAATACTTTGAGATGACGTCATGAAATTGTTGGTGGGGATCATTAGCCAACTTTTGGTTAACGTTTTTAAATATGATATTCCTAATAGGCATACAAAATATGTTTGACAACAGACAACGCCGGACAGACAGATAGCGTATAAAGCGTACATTTGATTAATAAATTTTAATTTTTGTATGCTTTATAGGTCTACGTAGTCGCAACCAAAATGGGATCAAGAGTTGGTGGATTTAATTCTGCGGCTCTTCCAGCTGATAAGGCTTTAGCAGGTGTACCTCGATTATTAGATGACCTACAACGTCTTTCGGAAGATACAGATTCGGCAGATATTGTTTTTATTCTTGGAAGAGAAGAAGAACGTGTATCTGCACACAGAGTAATATTGATGGCTCGGTAAGTACCAACACCAGTTCTACTTTTAAATAAGATAAATTGTATGTATAAATTCTTCTTTGAAATTTTTTTTACCTAAAACGAGGAAGCTAACCGAAAGACTCGAACATGCACAAAAATATTTATATTTTCATTAAAAATAATGGTCGAAGGTTGTATCGACAGAACTTCCCTCGCCCCTGAAGCACAATAAAACGTATCCTGATTTTTCGAAAAATTATAAACTTGGTTTTGCGCATTTTATTTTTCTAAGAGAATGCCTAGAAGTTAATATAATAATATGTAAGCAATAATAATATATAATAATATTAATATTATAATATCATTGATAATATTAATAATAATATGTATTTATTCCCAACGGGTAGGCACCCAATTACAGGAAATAGTAAAAATAAGAAAACACTAGTGCAGATATAATAATAAATAGGAAATAAATAAACATAAGATATAGTTTAGACCTATAAGCTATACAAAAAGCAAAACGTTATTTATTCTCCAAATAGGTAATTAAAGTCTTTGTGATCGAAATTATGGCCATTAATATCACACTGCACTGGTTACAAATTAAGTTAAAGTTTCTACACATTAGAATTATTGTTGGTGCATAGTAAAAAGTAAAACTATTTCTATTGTATAATCTGGGTACAGAAAACATAATTTTACCTAATTGATATGGATAGTCTATTTTGTTAATGATAATATATATTATAAAGAATCTTGACACAAAAGATGATCTATTCAGTAAGGCATTATGGTCAGATCCTCGAACGGGATAGACACCATCAATTGTAAATGACACGTAGTTTAAACATTTTCGCTGTACAGACTCGAATAAATTCATATACTTATATGGAATAAATGGGGTACCATATTATAGCTGCGTATTCTAACCGGTAGCGCATTAGAGAATAGTACAGGGAGAGCAATGCTTGGGTGTAAAATCGGAACAACTCCTTTAGATGACCCCGAACATTTTATAGACTTGCGCAACAGATTCAGCAATATGATCCCTAAAAGTAAATTTATTGTCAAATGTGACACCTAGATTTTTCTGTATCCAATCTGGCCAGGTGAGTTTCCTCAATTGAGTAGTTATAAACAATCATGTTCTCTTTTCTACTGTACGCCACAATAAAACAATTACTTTTATTTAGAAATAGCCGATTTGATGCGCTCTATGTAGAGAGTGCGTTTAAATTTTCTTGTAAAATATCGTAATCACAAGGCTCATTTACCATCAGGAACAACTTAAGATCGCCAGCGAATAGTAATTTCTTAAAGATAAGGAGTTAATTACATCGTTGACATATATAATAAAAACAGCAATGATCCCAGATTGGACCCTTGCGGCACACCGGATGTGGGACAACGGACAAAATGGTTCCGAGACAATGTTACGGTATCTAACAAATAGTTTTCTATCAAATAAATAGGATATAAAAAGTAGAAGTAGCGAATTCGGGAGTCCAAGTCAAGTATTATACAGGATGCCGCATCTAAGTTTGGACATAGAGAATTAACATGGAAAATTGGTTTTTATTCTATAATGTCTTCCCAGATCACTTTAAAGCTATTATTGAGTGATGCATTTGTAGAGGTAAAGGAGGGCTGCCGGGGAGTATTTTTTTCAAATCGTTACATCGGGCTCATTCACTGCAAAAAGGCTTTAAAAATCGTATTGTGAAATTAGTGCACAACCCGATATGTCACGAAACGTTCCGTCTCAGTTCGACAATCGCGTTTTTGGATTAGCCATGGAAAATCGTAATGTCAAAGTGAATTTAAAAGCATTCTTCGATTCTCACTCAGAAATCATTGAACAACTCAAATTGAGTTATTTTATCGAGTGTGATGATTATTATTGTAGGACAAATTAAACAAAATAAATGCATAAATTGATCCATTCGTTGGTGCTGAGTGCAGCACATGAATTCCTCCATGAAACTCACTTTAGTTTTATATATGACGTTCATTGCAATGGTTGATGCATCATATTATGTAATAATAATTAAAAAATTGGTCGAAAGTTGTTTCAATAGAACTTCCCTCGCTCCTAAAATACAATGAAATATATCCAGCATTTTTGAATTGAATTTTTTGAGTCACCTGTATAAGCAAATCTAAAAAATATGAGTGCAGTGACGAATTCCGAGTATCATATTTTGCACATTTAAGATAGATTTTAGAAGATTCAGCAATATTTTGAGGTGACGTTATCAATTTTTTAGGGGGGATGGGCAAATACATTTTCATAAAAAATAAATTCACGCATCCACAATCAACTATCAACAAAAATGCAGAAAAAAAGAATGTTAAGTACAAAGGTATGTTTACACTAGGGATTATGAACTGCCGTAAAAACATGAAAGTGTCAAGTCGTCCTATACACTCGAGTACTAAGTATAATTCCTTAGCTTACGCTGGGGAAATAAAAATAAAATTCGTTAAATTCAGTTTTACAATTTTTCGAAGAAACCGTATTTGTTCGCTTATACTTCACGGAGGAGGAAAGTTCTGTCTAAATAGTTATAATTGAAGTTTCAGATCAATTTTTACTTCGCGCACGTAGGCTAAGGAAGTATACAAAACTCACTCTACATACACCTTGTAAAACTTTTATGACTTAAGCGGCTTAAACCACCCTTATAATGGACCCGAACCGCAAGGATTATTATTGTTCATTGTTGCCATAAGGGAGCTGTAAAGTTTTACTAGGTATATGTGAACTGAGTTAAGTTATACGATAGCCAGTTTGATTTATAAGGGTGCTTTCGCTTAAAGTACGTAAAACGCTAACCAAAATTTGGCTAATCATTCCCACCAACCTCCTCTCATTATATTGCATACTTAAGTAACATTACCAAAATTGCAAAGTGTTTAATCACACCGAATGCTAGACAACTCGATGGGATGAGATCCAACAAGATCGAAACTGCAGTCTACAGCTTCCCAACAGGTTGTCTAGCCTCCGGTGTGATTAAACACTTTGCAAATTTAGAGGAACGCGGGCGTTTTCCGCGAAAGTGGCGACGCCAGTGCAGACAGGTGTCCGGCGGGGCTTTTGTCCGGGAAGTAGCTGTTTCCGTCCACTGGTTGGTTTTCCCCAAATAGCGCGAAAGTACGATTTTTCGGCAGGTGGGGGTAAACACATAGGTCGCCACTCAAACATCTCACTAACACCATTACCAAAATTGTACGAAATAATACACTCATCACTCATGTACTTGTGATTTACGAATTTACCTTGCTTTTGTTTATTATTATTAAACTTATTCATGGTTTAATCCGTCATCTTGCCATACCATGAGGACTCTCCTATAGGCAAACCATGAAAAAGTTGTGTTTTCAGTAATGTCATACTAACTTTAGTAATGTTGTTAAATCATTACACAAATGCAAAAATGATGATATTCATGACAAAATAAACTCAAAAACGGCGTAACATTCAAACTTATTTGTAAGCATAACCTATAAATGCCTCCATAATATATATATGAGTATATGTAAAGAATGTCTATAAATGATTCAAACATCCAGCACTCATTGGAAAATTCTAATTTTTTTAAATTAATTATTTTTTATCTGCACTATACAGTCCAACCTTTTCGTCTACTAACGCAAAGGTGGCATTCCATTAATAACTTCCTAAATGTCCGAAAACATGGATGGTAAACTATGTTGTTGAAATAATTTTTATTTTTCAAATGTGGTTTTACAGTATTGTTATTTCTCGGTGTGGAATTTAATTCTTAAATAGGGACATATAGACAAGCAGTAATTCAAATTTTAATAAAAGCATTAATTAAGTATTTAAAAACTGGCTCGACCTACAAACGCACTAATGTTTTTACAGATGCAAAAGCTTTCAAACAGCTAAACGTGGCGAGGTTTGCCGTATACCAGGATCTTCGGTTTCACCAACTACTCCAGGAACGCCAACTCCTATACGTTTACCTCAAGCACCACCTGACACATTTAAACAATTTCTGCTCTACATATATACTGGAAAGGTTGGTACAACACAGAATATTTAATTTTATCTTTTAAACTGACAATGAAGAAATTAAACAGATACTTCTACAAGATAGCAGTGTTTTTGAAATGTTAGCCCTCGCACAAGAACTTGGCGTCGATGAGTTACGTAACGCCTGTGAAGATCATGTTACGTCCACATTATCCGTAGCTTCAGCTTGTACTTTTCTGGCAGCAGCAATGAATATACAGAATCGATCTCCAGGTAAATATATTCTTAAAACATACACAACTTGTAGACATATGTAGAAGACATACACAATCAGTTACAACGTCATATTTTTCAATAAAAATATTAATCAGACAGTTTTTAAAAACAGTGTAGGTTATCTAATTTTTTTAGCAGGTGATTAAATAAAATGTCGCTAAACACAAACAAAACGTAATCACAAAAAATGTCATTTGCGTTAAAATTTTCAAGAGATTTTTGTATTATACTTAATAATAATAAGCTATACACATCTAATTTTCTTAGCGGTGATTAAATCAAATGTCGCTAAACACAAACAAAACGTAGTCACAAAAAATGTCATTTGCGTCAGAATTTACAAGAATTTTTTGTATTATAATAAGCTATACACAGTCATGGGTTTAGTCGCACTTAATGTGATATTAACACCCTAGGTTACTCTGTTAATAATAATATAATGTCACTTATGCATCAAGGAATGGAGTGGAATTTAAATCCACATCATATCTGTCAATTGCACCATTCTGTTTTGACACTTAAATGTAGTGGCTAAACCTTCAAAGATTGGACAAGTCTACACTTGTTTTGTTGCTGTTGCGTGTCCGTTTATCTATCTTTTGTATACGACTTCAGTTAATGTTTTGTAATAACTTTCAAAGAAGTACAGTAGGCAACGTAAAATGTTCGCCAAGCTTTTCCTCTCATATCAAAAAGAACATGATATAGCCTATGCATTATTGTCACTGACTTTGACTGATGTTGATATCTAAAAAAATAGTTATTTATGATCCAGTGCTGCGAAGCTCAAATTTCACTAATTTTATTATTGGTTGTTGGCCATTTGATGTTCTAGTAACCCATGTAAGACCAATAAATAAATAAAAATGCAGGCTGCCGTATCCAGGTTTGGACATAGGAAATTAATATAGAAAATTGGTTTTTATTTTACAATATCTCCTCAGATCGCAAAGCGCCCATTCACTGTAAAAAGCTGTGGTGATAGCTATTTGTGTATTAAGGGCGTAAAATTATACATTGCCGATTGAGAGAGAAAGTTGCGGCGCGACGAAGAAGCGCTGCAATCTCTCGAAATCGGCAATGAATTTGCGCTCGTAATACACACAAGATTTTTTCTACAATCAAGACAGTTTGCACAATAATTAAAAACGTCCCAAGAAATTGTCTTCTTCCATTTTCACCAAACCACAGCATAAAACTCAAAAATTTGTATAAACCAAAGTTTGTTTACCTGTTGCTATGTAATGAACTGGCCAGTGATCCAGTGAATATTTGATTAATTGGATTACAGAGCGTTTTGTACATTTTGTCGCGCGTGAGCGACAAAGTGACGTTCCTCAGAAAACTTGACTTTTGCGTTGTCAAGTCCAAGCGTCAAATGCCTACTTTCTATATCGATTGTAGAAAAAAAGACTTTAAAAATCGTATTTGTAAATTAACGTTCGGTCCGATTTGTCACGAAACGATCGCGTTTTTAGTTTAGCCGTGGAAAATCGAAATGTCAAAATCAATTTAGAAATGATTCCTCGATTTTCACTCAGAAATCATTGAACAACTCAAATTGAATTATTCAATTACAGTTGTTTAGTGATTTCTGAGTTACAATCGAGAATGATTTCTAAGTTGACTTTGACATTTTGATCTTCCATGACTAATCCAAGACGCGATCGTCGAATTGAGACGGACCGTTTCGCGAAAAATCGGGCCGAGTGCTGATTTCAAAATACGATTTTTAAAGCCTATTTACAGTAAATGGGCGCTATATGACGATTTGAAGAAAATATTAGCCAATAGCCCTCCTTTACTTCCACAAATGTATCACTCAGTAATAGTTTTAAAGTGATCTGGGGAGATATCATAAAGTAAAAACCAATTCCCCATCTTAGAGAGAGGAACGCGTGAAGACTACGAAACTCTAGACAACGTTGTCGGAATCAATCGCTTTTCCAATGTAGTTGAAGCAGCATCACTGACTGATTTTACGCTATCTGTCAGAACGGCAGAATGGCGCCTAAGAAAAACTAAACCGCGAAATAATGCGGCTGCTAAAGAAGTCCATTTCATGGACTTTTTTAAAGAATGTGAGAATAGGTTTCATGTAAGAGCACCTGGGACGGGATGAAATATTTTCGAATAGGGTAGTATTCTCCGATGAAAAACTGTTCGAATCAGCCTATAACGGATGATTCTGCTTATATAGACCACGGAAGTCACGAAACACTCGTTATGAGTCAGGCTATGTTCAAAGTATAGAACAAAGCGGGCGATCGTCCGTAAATATATGAGCTTGATTTGTGCAGTTAGTCGACAGGAGAATGATACATGTGGAAAGTAGGCTCAGTAGTGATGTTTACATTAGGATTCTGGAGGACGTGGCTACAAGATCGTAATGTAAACGTCCTTGATTGGTTGCAGATCTCAACTCCATTGAAAATATACTGAGTGACAAAAGTAAAATAACACATAGGGGCCAATTCCAAGTTGGCCAGTTGCGCCGACGCAAGTCACTGGTACAGCGCAACTTTGTAATGCTAATTTGGCTATCAAATGCTGGTTGCTAGGGGTGACGAAATAAACAAACGCACTTGTGTCGAATTTTTCCATTGCAATTTGCACCATCGAGTTGCGGCTCCTCGAGTAGGTAGCGCAATTTGGCGCAATTTATCTCGAAAAATGGCGGTCGTCTATAAAGTTTTAGTTTAGCGGGTGTTGTTGTTATTTTATTTGAAAATTATAGGGAAGGTGAGGATGAAACGAAAAAAAAAATACCGAAAGAGGTAAGATGTCGTTGTTGCACCCTCGTTGCATTAATGGAAATTTTTGAATTTGAAAATGCACCATAACGGTGGCGCAGAGTGGTGATTGCGTCGGCCAACTTGGAATTGGTCCCTTTAAGAAGGCATGGTTTTATTGTAATAAAATTGTATGTATAAGCTAAGGGTTGTCAGAATTGATTAGAATTTGAATGGCATCGGTCAAGTAGTTTTAAGAACGAAACATTTTTCTTGGACGCTGAAGAAAAAGTTATCATGGTATGTATGGCACATTTGACCATTTTCGGCACGTTATTGTGTTTGACGTGTTTGTCACATGGCCTAGAGTGAGTCGGCGTTTAAATTTTAGGCCACTCTGAAACTTTGAGAAAGATCCAATAGTGGGTTTTCGAGAAGAGGAATTATCGTTCCGCTGAATTGTAGCCCGAGTAAACAGGACCTTATCATCTGTGGCAAACTGTTATCAGGTTTGGTTCTAAGAACGAACACCATAACAAGCCAGATATCCAGGGCGTCCGCCATAAGCAACAGCACGTCAGGAGGGGCATCTAAAACTGTTAGTTGTGAGGAGGCATTTATCAACTACATGTTCAATTGTAGACAAATGGTTTTCAGAAGAAAGAAGACCGGTGATAAGACCATCAACAGCCAGTCTTTCGTACTGGCTACAGGTTGTGTTACGACTCACAGTTGCTCACAAACGCCAGAGTGGTGTCGAGAAAGCTTACGCTGGAATGAAGAATGGTATCAAGTTGTCTTTATTGACGAATCCCGATTTTGTTTGGGCATGAGCAATGGTCGGATAAAGAAAAGGCGAAGACGAACGATGATATCTCCAGTTTTTCGGGGAGCGGCTTGTGCAACTATAGATGCCCAAGCACGCATTGTTAGGGTCACTCTAGACCGTTTTGGAGAAGTTGAAGTCAATCTTCTCCCTTGCCCTCCAAAATCTTCTGATATATTCCTAATCAAAAATGTTTGGAATTTGATGGCTACCAAATTTAAAATAAGTACAAGTAATACACGCGTCATACCAAAAGATGTGGAAAGAGATTATTATATTTTGTAAAAAAGTTCACAAATGCACCACTGGCAAAAACTGAGTTTTATACTATCCTCAAACATATTTGGCGTTTATGACTTCACACCAATTTGACTCCCATTATAATTCAATAGGCCGTCACAACCGGATGTCTTAAACCCGCTCACCGATACCTACCTGAAAAGACCTTTTCTGGTAAAAGCACAGGGCAGGACTGAGTTTTGCATTTACCGACAACTGCGCCTTTCGAGTTTTTTATTTTAAGTAAAAACAAAGTAACTTTGTACTCAATCATTTTTGATTACAGCACAACTATTTACTTATTAACTACTACTGCTTATTTATTGATCGAAATAGTCACTGTCATCATCACTCGACTCTTCTAAATTAATAATTAACGGTGTTATCAACCGTGCCCTGTACTGGTCTTCTTCTTTTGTGGAATGTCGTACACAATTGGCCCACATTTCGGCAGTTATTTTGGAAGCTTCTTCCCTAATTATGTCAATTGTTGCACTACTAAATTTTGGTGCCGTATTATTCCCTCTTATATTATTTTTCATTTGCGACCAGATTAGTTCGATGGGGTTAAATATACAATGGTACGGCGGAAGTCTAATCACCCTAAATCCACGATCTCGCGCCATAGCATCTATTTTATATTGTTTTTCAAATTTTCGAGTGTGTAACACTTCTAATAATTGTGTCTTTGTGTAATTTTCTTCAAAGTATAAATCATGTTCTGTAAGGAAATTTTGAAATTTGAAAATTTTAACAAACAAAATTACTCTGCGTCCGGTCCTTCGCGTCTCGACCGTCCCTGGCACGTCGAAAAGGTCTTTTCAGGTAGGTATTGGTGAGCGGGTTTAAGACATCCGGTTGTGACGGCCTATTGAATTATAATGGGAGTCAAATTGGTGTGAAGTCATAAACGCCAAATATGTTTGAGGATAGTATACAAATTACACAAAACATTTGCCAACGTAGTTTTTCTTTCTTTTTGTTAAGTAACGTTTTAAAGTAAATTTCACTCAAAAGCATAAAGTGAAAAATACATCTCAAAATCGCTAGAATGATATTTGAAGAGCTCATGTAGCATGGTTTCCTAACAAATTATGTGCTAAACTCGCTTTAGATTTTAATTCCCTACTGGGTTAATCTTTCCTCTGTGTGGACGAAGC